AAAATAATATATATATATATATATATATATATATATATGTATGTATATAATCTAAAAGTACTTGTATAAATCTTTTTACAAATATTTAAAACCAATTATTTCTTAATAAATATGTCGCGATCAGAAGACGTCGAAGATGTAAGGATCTTCAAGATTTAATCTCCAGCGACATGAATAAGATAATGAGGCCTCATTCTTCGTTTCATCTCAAGTGAATTTCACTTGGAGTCCTGGCTTAAAAAATTCATTGATATTTGTTGATTATTTGCAAATTCAACAGTCGCGCGGAATTTCATCCGCGCCGAAATAGGGCAAAAACAAGAGATTGTTTTGAATATTCCTAGTTCACGCGGGACTTGCGATGAAGAGGCAGAAATTGCGCATCACACAGAAGGAAGAATTAATACGTGACGAGCAACCTTGGAGAATAACGTTCCCCGTTTCCCATTTCCCCGTTTTAATGTAGTAACGCTTTATATTTGAAATTTTATCGTCTAGGATTCCTAGCATCGGATCAGGGAGATTCAGTCACGTATTCCAGATTTGCTAGACATGTGTTCCAGGATCATTGCCAACTTATGCGGGAGAGCGCAATGGATGACAAAAAGATTATACTAAAAGAAGGGCGGGAAAAATTTATGAGCGGCACGAATTCTGTAACTATCGATCACCAGATAAATCAAACTGTCAAAAAAATACATGTTTTTTTGAAATATATTCCATATTGTATTCTGTATTATAATAATACAGAATACAATATGGAAAGATTATAAATCTAAGTTGTTTTCCAAAAAAAGTCAAAATTATTAAAATAAGGGATTAAATCAGATAAGTTTTTCTTTCATTTTACTTTTGTTCGCGCATTTAACTGAATTGAATAAAACAATGCAGTTTATTGAATAAAACTTTATATGCACCTGCAATAAGAATCGAGACGATTCGCTAGTATGTCGGGATGCCTCTTTGCAGGCGTTGCCACAATGCCACAATGAGTTATACAAGACTCGCAATATCTTGTAATTCTATGAAATATCTTAGAGATTAAATTTTCATTGTGCGCTGCAAACGACATCTGATGCTTGTATACCAATTTGATGATAATATTACTCGATTTCTCTCTAATCCCCGCATCGTTGAACTTCAATTTATAATCTTAAAACTCGACGACAGAAAATCAACAAACCAAAAGCAGGATGTGTTAATTAAAGATAAACAATCAGCCATATGTAAGCGGATTAATGCTGTTCGATATAGCAAGAATTTATATTTTAAAAGACATTGTGAAAGTGATGTGCGGCGTATAAATATTTTTTCAATTTGTAATAAATATAGAACGTTTGTAAATTTTTTAATAAAAAATTCCAAACATCTATGAGTGAAAATTGTAGAAAAAATTTTTATTGAATTTTACTGCGAAATTAAAAAGGATTTCTATTCAACCGTAATAATTTTCAAATGTACAATATTCAAACTTTATTTTCGAATCGCACATGCAAACATATTCAGTTTAAGTAATAATATATTTATCGACGAGATGATAATGTATAAAATTGATACATATCGTTCCATAATCAAAATATTTATGAAAAACGATCTATAATTTGAATTAAATGTTATTCACGGGTGCCTTGACGACAAATTGCATCGTATTGCTGTATGCGCAAAAATTCATTATTGCATAAAAATTATTTTGTTTTTCTCCGCAAGTTCGATCAACCGAAACAAATTAATCCGATGTGCAGCGTAAAGATAGTATAGGTTTATGGGTAATCCGCGACGATCGATAGAGCGTCAGTAATGTGGCAAATGCTTAATAAAAAAATATAAATATTATATTAATATTTATTAGAATTAAGCGGACGAAATTAGGCATGTGAGAAAATAATTGATTTTCGCAAAAATCGCGGCGTGATAATTTTTTTACCACATTTTCATATTTAATTACCATCTTTCCGAAGGAAATCTCTTTGACCCTTCCAAATTTTTGCAGACTATGTATTTTCATATATTTTTGCTAGAATACTTTTTATTTTGCGGATTTTGCGAAGGACCGCGATTGGCGCAACAAATGGAAGTTTTTGAGTGCTCTCTCACGATAATGTTTATGCAACAATTTGTGAGTGTGCGATGCGCACGTACGTCCAACCACACGGGAGATTTATCTGACGGCTACCGTACATGTAGGTAGATAAATACAATGGCGGAGACGTTAAGTCAACAGGACGTAGCTATCTGAGCTTACAAACAGAGAGAGAGAGAAAAAGAGAGAGAGAGTATGTGCTTTTGAGAACGCGGTGGATCATACGAAAGCTCTCAAGCTCGGCTACCATCGAATTACGTAGGATTTTCGGAACTTTCGAAAAGCTTTCCAAGGACTGACACTCAAGTATCCCT